CTGTTGCTGCTGCTGCTCGTGCTGCTGCTTGTGCTGCTCCTTCCGCTGCTGCTGCTAATAATACTTTACTTGGCTGTCTTTTAGGGCTGTGTGTGTGTATTTGTTTGATTAGGGGGCCTGATTGTAAATAAGGAGACAGCAGCAAGTGTCTCTAATCTCTTTTCTTCTGTGCTGTCTGAAGAAGCAGCAGCAACTCTAGAGGTATCTGTCTCTAATGCTACGCTGCCTTCGGGTGCTGCTGCTCCTCTTTGGCTTGCTGAAGGCCTTAAGCTTATCCGTCTACACCCCACAGTCCCTGGGTTTAGTGTTTTGTTTGCGGGGCTGCATGCACAGCAATTGCTGCAGCAGCTAGAGGTGCGCCAGGTGACTGTACACCTCGACGAAGCAGATACAACCAGCAGCAGCAGCAGCAGCAGCAGCAGCAGCAGCAACAGCCTGCGGGTCTCTGCAAAGGCCAGAGTTGTTGCGCTGTCTCCTATGGGGGAGACAGTCCCTATAAATGTTAAAGGGGCTTTATATGATTTGCTGCTGTACACGGAAGACGGTTTGTTGCTGGGGCGAGTGAAATCAACAGCAGAGACTGCAGCAGCAGCAGCAGCAACAGCAGCAGCAACCACAAGAATGGAGACAACAGAAACCCCACAAGGAGACAGAACCTACTTTATAGTAGAAATGCATGCAGAGGCAAACATTGAATTTGAGGAGAGAGGGAGACCCCTGAGCCACTGGCTTCGCAGCTTATTAGAAGGAGACACTTCAGCAGCAGAAGGAGCAGCAGCAGCAGCACCAGCAGCAGCAGCAGCAGCAGCACCAACAGCAGCATGGATGAATGCTTCAGGGAAAGCAGCAGCCTTGCTGCAGTTCGGAGACTTAGAAGAAGTCCTTGTCGAGGGTTTACAGGTCGGTGGGCCTGTCTCCTTTGGGGTGCCCCCAGCAGCAGCAGCACCAGGAGCAGCAGCACGCCTTGATCCTCAGCTGCTTCATCTGAATATACTGGGTGCAGCAGCAGAAGGAGGTTTGCTGCTTGAGGGCAGCGCTTCATTCTTGTCTCCTGTCCCCGTTAGTATGGTGCTGCCTCGTTTGAGTCTCCGAGTCTTCTTCGGGATGTCTCTAATTGCACAATTAGAGACAGAGACAGCAGAGCTCATGCCTCACCCTACAAGGACAGCTGTCTCCTTTACTGGTCGCCTGCTGCAGCAGCAAACAGAACAAGGTGTAAGCGACTTCAGCCGCCTAGCCACTGCTGCAGCAAAGGGACTTGTCTTGGGTACTGCAGCAGCAACAGCAGCAGCACCAGATGCTAACACCAGCAGCAGCAGCAGCACCAGCAGCAGCAGCAGCAGCAGCACGACTGGGGAGGCTGCTCATGTGCTTGTGGAGGCCTCGTTTGCTGCTGCTGGAGGGGCCCCAGAGTGGCTGCAGCAAGCGTTTGAAGGTCTCCGCATTGCAGCACCGCTGCAGGGTCAGCAGCTGCTGTCTCCTACTCTTATCCGCAGGGTTGAGCTGAGAGACACTGAAATAGACATGCGGGAGACAGGCGTCTCCTCTGATTATGTTGCTGTCTCTTCAACTGTCTCTTTGGTGCTAGAACCCTTCTTAGGAAAGGGCAGCAGCATCAGTCTCCTTGGCTTATCTTTAAAAGGAGACATTAGAGACACTAACAGCGGGGATATAATAGCAGAAGCTTTTACCCCAGCAGCAGCAGCAGCAGCAGAAGAAGGAGCAGCAGCAGCAGCAGCAGAAGCAGGGGACCTTGTTATACTAGAGACACCAGCAGAGTTTATAGAGACTGAAGATGGGTTGCTGCAGGTAGACCTGCCTCTTGATGTGCTGCTGCAGATAAGAGAAGGAGACGCTTTTGCTAGCTTTGCTGCGAGAGCAATGAAGGCCGAGGAGACAGCAGTAAGGATAGAGGGGATAGCTGCTGCAGCGCTGCAGACACCTGTGGGGCCCCTCTTTGTAAGTGAAGTACGAGTGCAGCAAACTGTCTCCTTTGACTCTCTTGCTGCTGCTCTTAAGGGGCTCAGCGAAGGCCTACGTATTCTAGCATTTAGTGTAGGCGACGTTAAAGTAAATGAAGCTGGAGAAGGAGACAGTCTCTCTTTTACTGTAGATGTTTTGTTAGGAGATGCAGCAGCAGAACCAGCAGCAGCAGCAGCAGAACCAGGAGCAGAAGGAGAAGCAGCATCAGGAGCAGCAACAGCAAAAACAGCATCAACAGCAGCAACAATCGGAGACATGCGTATCTATGCAGGCAGCTTATCTTTTTCTATCGTTGATGCTACAGATGGAGATGTTATAGGAGAAGGCTTTGTACCGTCTGCTGTAATAGGGGGTGGTCGACACCCGCTCCGTGTAGAGGGACACTTGTTTGACAAGAGCAGCAGCAGCAGCAGCAGCAGCAGCAGTGGGAGCACACGTCTGGCTTCTCTTATGAGTAATGCAGTCAGTGGGGGGCCCCTTGGGGTGTATATACGCTGGAGAGACAACCCGATACACCCGAAGCCTCAGTGGTTCGGAGCTGTTGTTGATAGTCTTCATGTTCAGCCTTCTATTGCAGGGTGGGTTCGCTGCTGCATGCAAACAATGCTTCACTTATCTGCTGCTGCTCCTGCTGCTGCTGCTGCTGCTGCTGCAGCGCAGCAGCAAATCCTGGGTGTCTCTGCATGTGCTGCATTTGTTGAGGCGTCTGTATCATATACCCTCAGGCAGAAAGGAGACAGTTGTCTCCTTGTCTCCTCTATACATACATATGAATATATTAATATATGAATATGAATAAATATATATTATATATATGCATAAATATATTATATATATTATTGTTGCTGCTGTATATATTATATGTATTTGTTTGATTAGGCTGGAGCCGTCTATATATAAATATAAAATATAAATAAATAACTAAATAACTAAATAAATAAATAAATAAATAAATAAATAAATTGTATGTATTTGTTTGCTTAGGCTGGAGCCGTCTCTGAACTTAGTAGAGGGTATATCGTTTAGGGGTTTGAGAGTAGAGACACAGGGAGAGACAGCAGTAAACGTTGAAGCAACTGTCTCTGCAGATATACGCAGCCCTTTGGGTAAGGAAGCTCCTTTAAAGCTGCTGCAGGTAGGTGCAAGGGTGTCTCTCTATGCGCAGCAAACAGATGCCCCAGCATCAGCAACAACGAGCAGCAGCAGCAGCAGCAGCAGCAGCAGCAGCAGCAGCAGCAGAAGCAGCAGCAGCAGCAGCAGCAGCGGCAGCGGGAGAGGGGAGCTGCTAGGTACGCTGGTGGTGTCTCCTCGGGAGCCTGTTGAGCAGCAGCAAGAAGGAGACATGCTGCAGGTGTCTATACAGCTGAAAGGTGCTGAAGATGCATTTGTTTTAGCTGATGAAGGACGAGCTTTTGCTGCTTTTGTGGGTGCTCAAATAAACGATGGGACTACTTCAATTATTTATGTTGCGACTGTCTCTGCAACTTTAGAGTCTCCTTTCGGCCTGCTTACTGTCTCCGATATGGAGGTGTCTGGCAGCAGCAGTCTCCTTGATGCAGGGACCTCAGCACCCGGCAGCAGCAGCAGCAGCAGCAGCAGCAGCAGCAGCAGCAGCATATCGGATATGGAGTTTACTGTTGATTCAATTAATTTTGAAGCACCTGAAGATAACAGCAGAGGCCTTACCTTAGCAGCAGAGCTCAGCTTAAAGATCCCCTTAGACCTGTCTATACAGCTGAGCGGTCTCTCCTTTTGGCTGCTGCTGGTGCGCAGCAAACCGCAGCAGCAGCAACAGCAGCAACAGCAGCAGCAGGAAGAAGAAGAGGAAGAAGGAGACTCTGATTTGCTGCTCCTAGGAGAGCTTACAGTGCCTCAGTTTGTGCTTAACGGGGGGCTCGGTAGGCTTAGCGCAAAGGGTTTAATAAGACCAAAGGAGAGCGACTTAGATGAGGTGTCTCTGTTTATTTCGAGTGTATTGCAGGGACTGTCTCCTGAGGTTGTAGTAAGGGGTATAGGTGTCTCCTTTGTAGGAGCTCAGCCAGCCCCTAATTGGGTGCAGGAGACAGTAAAGCATATTCAATTAAAACTGTCTCTACCTAGATTAGAGGGTCTTACAGACTCTGCATTCTCTACTCTAAATATGTCTCAACTTAGGCTTAAAGTGCTTAAGGATGGAAGTGAAGAGGAGACACTCTATGATGCAGACACCGGAGTATTATTAGGGGCTAAGATCGAAGCTGCTGTACAGAGTCCCTTTGGAGACACTTTGCCTATTGAAATCAAACGCGTAGGCGTAGATATCCAGCTGTTTGAACATGATAACGACAGCAGCAGCAGCAGCAGCAGCAGCAACCAGCAGCAGCAGCAGCACGAGGGAGAGGAGACAGGAGACGACAGTGGGCAGTCGTCGGGAGGCAGCCCCGCGCGGAGGCTGCAGGCAGCAGAGCAGCAGCAGCAGCAGCAGCAACAGCAGCAGCAGCAACAGCAGCAGCAGCAGCAGCAGCAGCAGCAGCAGGGAGAAGTTGAGGGTCGCTCTGTTGGCCGATTGGTGGTGCCTGAGAGGGAGGTGAAGCAAGAGGGCTCAACTGTCTCCTTTGATGTATTTGAGTTGCTGCAGTTTGAAGACAGCGGTGAAGGCTTTGCTGCTCTAGCCCTGTCTATAATGCGTGAACAGCAGCAGGTAAATGTAAGAGTTAGAGGTGTAGCATCGGTGCTGCTGCAGTCACCGTTAGGTTTGCTGTCTCTTCGGGGTATCCCCGTGCAATCAACTGTCTCTATTAGGGGTCTAGGCCTCTTTCAGCAGCACACTCTACAGCAGCTTGCTGCTTCTGCTCTCAACAGCCTCCGCATCTTTGATTTCGGTCCCCGCAGCAAAGCCCTTCCTCACGCTGCTGTCATAAACAGCAGCAGCAGCAGCAGCAGCAGCAGCAGCAGTGATCTGCAAATAGGAGAAGAGCCTACATCTGAGCGTACACCTGAGGCGCTGCTGCTGGAGACAGTGGTGCATCTGCCTGTACTGGATGGGGTGTCTGTTGAGCTAGAAAATTTGATGTTTTCTTTATATTATGAAGACAGCTCTCTAGGGTTTGTGCTGATTCCGAGGATGTATCTGAAAGGAGACAGTGAAGAGGGTTCTCGTATACACCTCAAAGGGGTCTTACAACCAAAAGATAGTGTCTCCTTTTCTCGTCTGGCAGCTTCATTCTTTAGCGGAGGAGTTAATACTGTTGTAGTAAAGGGGGACCCTTATGCATTAGAAACATTAGACGAAAATAAATTGCTACAGCAGTTTATTAGTGACATATCAGGTGTATATACACCTCCTCTTTGGGTTCTACGCTTGCTGCAAGGTATATCATTTGCTGTCTCCGTTGAGCCTGCAGTAGAGGGGCTAGCTCAAGAGTTAATGAAAGAAGTTATTATCAAAGGTGTTGATGTAGATCTATCAGGAGGAGACACTCAAAGAGGAGACAACCCGTTAATAGAGGCTCAGGTAGAAGCTGTCTATGCTTTTCCGCCTCAGTTCAGCATCAGGCACCAAGTGAGTACGAATGCATTTATTTATTTATTTTATTAATTATTTATTTATTTATTTGTCGTTAATTTATTATTAATTTATTTATTTGTTGTTAATTTATTGTTAATTTATTTATTTGTTGTTAATTTATTATTGATTTATTATTAATTTATTTGTTTATTGTTAATTTGTTGTTAATTTATTATTAATTTATTAAATAATTTATCATTAATTTATTATTAAATTATTATCAATTCATTAAGTAATTTATTATTAATTAATTATTTAATAAATAATTAATTAATTGAATAATTTATTATTAATTATAAATTAATTTAGACAGACAGAGACAGACAGAGAAGACAGAATAGACAGCATTAATAATAATTTGTATGCATAGATGGAATTGATATATATATATATATATATATATTTATTTATATATGTTTTTTATTGACGATAAATGTCTGCAGAGAGGAGACAGCTGAAGAGACAGCGAGGTGTATATGCATGCATGCATATGCATATGCATATATTTAGATGAATATATATGTATTAGTTTGTTTGAGTGTATTTGTTTGACTAAATATAATATAATTATTTAATTGATTTTGCTTGTTTGAATGCAGGTACTATCGATGGGAGGGAGACTGCTGCTGTCTCCTTCAGCAGCAGCTGCTGCAGGCCCTATGGGAGCTATGACTGTTAAGGATCTGTTAGTAATATCTCAATATGAAGAAGAAGAAGAAGAAGCAAAAGAAAAAGCAAAAGTAGATGAAGAGAGGCAAAGCGAAGATGAAGAGACGAAAGGCGTCGCTCGAGACAGGAGACAAGGAGACAGCAAACGCATGCGGATTTTGGTTGAGCTCCCGCCTACAGTTCTCGAGGTTTTGCCTAATAAAGAAGATATATTTTCACAGCTAATGGTGGAGACAGTTAACTCAAAGGAGACTGTCTCCGTCGCTGTACAAGGAGATATTAAGGTCTCTGTCTCTACTGCTGTAGGCGCCCTCACCATCACCATGCCTCTTGATATGACTCAGAGCATACAAGGTAAATAAATTAAATAAATAAATTAAATTATATAATTAATTAATTAATTAATTAATTATATTTAATTATTTGTTTACTTGTTTATTGTTAGGTCTTAGGGATTTATCGTACATGCGCAATTCTTTATTTCTACAAGCGACTAATAACTAACTAACAAACTAAATAAATAAATAAATAAATAAATAAATAAATAAATTATATTTAATTATTTGTTTATTTGTTTATTATTAGGTCTTGGGGACAAACTAACTAACTAACTAACTAAATAACTAACTAACTAAATAAATAAATAAATAATATTTAATGATTTGTTTATATTTGTTTGTTGTTAGGTCTTGGAGGCCTATCAGGGCCTTCGTCGTCTTTACGTTTTTCTATGGGTGAGATGACAGTGGTTGGTGCCGACGCAGAGTTTCTAGACGGGTCTGCGACAGTAGAAGTGCAGTTAGCAGGAGATAATTGTGTTATAGGGGTTAACCTCGGGCCTCTAGCGTTAGACTTAGATATACCTATTGCTGCTGATGCTGCTCATCTTATTAACGATCTTGAACAACAATTTATCGATGAATATATTGTTTATCAAGACCCTTTGTCTCCTCTTATCACATCCGGTGTTGTTAAACTACCTCGGCTACAAATCTTATCGCCTGTTAAAAAACAAAAACTTCTAATGCAGCAGCAACAGCAGCAACAGCAGCAGCAAAAACAAAAGCAACAACAGCAGCAGCAGCAACAGCAGCAGATGGTGGGGATGCAACAGCAGCAACAACAACAGCAGCAGCAACAGCAGCAGCAGGATGGAGGTATAAAAGGAGAAGAAGCTGTTGCGGTTTTGTTTGCACCTGTCAAGACAGCTGAAGGACAAGAGTTAAGGATGGGTACTCGAGTGCTGCTATCGAACTATGTTAGCGGTATATCAACTACTGTTGTTATTAGAGGCAATAACTTCTCAACAAAAAATAAGTTCTTAGGCACTTTCTTCTCTTCATTTAGAATTGAAACCGATGTACCGGGAACAAACAGAGCCTTCATCAAAGAAGTCGGCATCACCCTCAAGGTAGGCGCTCAGTAAACCCTAAACCCTAATCAACCTTAAACCCTAATCAACCTTAAACCCTAATCAACCTTAAACCCTAATCA